GTATGTGGGCCTCTCACTGTTGTGGCCTCTCCTGTTGCGGAGCACAGGCTCCGGACGCGCAAGCTCAACGGCCGTGGCTCATGGGCCCAGCCGCTCCGCGGCACGTGGGATCTTCCTGGACCAGGGCAAGAACCCGTGTCCCCTGCATCGGCAGACAGACGCTCAACCACTGCGCCACCAGGGAAGCCCCTCCTCTTTTTTAAATTTTAATTTTACTGAAGTATAGTTGATTTACAATGTTGTTTTACTTTCTTCCGTACAGCAAAGTGACCCAGATATATACATATATATAAATTTTTCCATATTCTTTTCCACCATGGTCTGTCACAGAATATTGAATATATAATAGTTCCGTGTGCTATATACAGTAGGACCTTGTCATTTATCCATCCTATATATATCCATCCTATATATATTACTTTGCCTCTGCTAACCCCAAACTCTCATTCCCTCCCTCCCTCCGCACCTTGGCAGCCGCAAGTCTGTTCTCTATATCTGTGAGTCTATTTCTGTTTTGTAGATATGTTGATTTGTATTGTACTTTAGATTCCACATATTAGTGATATCATATGATATTTGTCTTTCTCTGTCTGACTTACTTCTCTTAGTATGGTAATCTCTAGGTCCATCCATGTTGCTACAAAGGACATTATTTCATTTTTAATGGCTGAGTACTATGCCATTCTTTTTAATGGCTGAGTACTATGTACCACATCTTCTTTGTCCATGCATCTGTCGATGGACATTTAGGTTGTTTCCATGTCTTGGCTATTGTAATATTTCCCTTTTTGGAACCATCAGACTGTGAATACAGATGAGATCTTATTCATTTTGATGATCCCAGAACCCAGAGCCAGCACTGAGTATTTATGTTTAATATTAAGATTTATTAATAAATAAATGCTTATTTATGAAAAAAAAAAGATTAACTAAACTGAAACCACTATAGAAAGACGGCAGGAATTTCACCCTACTCTCCTAAATGCTAAAGAATGGAGTGCTTATGGCCTAGTCTTAGAAGTACAGATCAAAAAAGTCAACATACAGCTATTATATTACAAGCTATTTCTAGTATGAGAAATAATGAGAAGGTCAGTTTGATTTGAAGATAAATAAGTTCCTAGAGGGCTTCCCTGGTGGCGCAGTGGTTGAGAGTCCGCCTGCCGATGCAGGGGACACGGGTTCGTGCCCCGGTCCGGGAAGATCCCACATGCCGTGGAGCGGCTAGGCCCGTGAGCCATGGCCGCTGGGCCTGCGTGTCCGGAGCCTGTGCTCCGCAACGGGAGAGGCCACAACAGTGAGAGGCACGTGTACCGCAAAAAAAAAAAAATAATAAGTAAGTTCCTAGAAATAAACTGGGTAAACCATATATAACACACTGGGTTCTCCTTGGCCTACTATGTCCAAACTCAAATTCTTAGGAAAGGAGGAATACATTAGAATGGCGTTTATCTTAAATGTTGGTTGTTTAGAAGCATGCCTCCCAAAATGACTCCTGACAATAAAGAAGACGCACTCTTGTGGAAAGCTGGGAGTTCAGGCTTAATTAAGCCCTTGCAGAAAACATGAAATTTTTTTGAAGCTTCCTCTTTCTTTCGGGTGACATTACAATTTTTTCCCAGTTAGTGAATGATAAAAGCAAGAAATGAACAACAACGGAAAATCTAGACTGTGAAAACTTAATTCAAAAGTTTGTTCTTGCCCTTTTTTGGTGAAACATTCCACTTACACGTAACATTACAAAAAATTTGTCAGTAACTTTGTTAAATTGTAATTTAACAATAGTAATTGACTAAAATTATTCCAACCTTGTAAGCCTGAGACACAATATAAAAACTATCTTTAAAAACAAAAATGGAACAGGATTCAAAGAAGAAAGAAAGTTGGCTGAAAAAAGTTGCAAGAAATTTGAAAGAAGTCATACCTCCGTTCACACTGATGAGTACTTACCCTTCTCCTGTTAAAGCACAGCAGGACTGAATGTGCCATGGATGATCCTTAATTGAACTGAGGGTGAGGTATTTAGAGATTTCAGCTGCTGTCATACACCCTTTCATATCCTGTTTATTGGCGAAGATAAGGACTGCAGCTTTCCGTAAATCCTGCAATCAACATGAAATATTTCTAATATGTAAAATATCACAATTCAAATTAAAGTAATGAAGCAGGAGGATAAAATATGCCCTACTGAACAATTATAATGAAATCTTTCTACTTTAAAATAATCAGGCACTACTATGTAATATAAACATTTTGTTGAAATAAAAATAAATGACCTCAAATAACCATGATTTAATGATTTACTCTAACAAAGACAGATTAATATAAACTAGATATTAAAAATTATTTTTCTACTATTGGGCCAAATGGGTCAAACTAAAAGTAAAATAAACCTGAATCTATAATGACTTAAAACTATACGAGCAATATTCTAATAGGCAAATATAGTATATACTACCAAATACTACAGAATTTCTCCAAAATTTAAAGGAGAGTACTGAAGGTAAGGGCTGGGCAATACTACTTAAAGTCTTTGTACAACCTAAGCTCAGTGATTAATGTTCACTGCAGAATTGTTTATACTATCAAAACATTAGAAGTAACTTAAATGTTCATTAATAGAAGAATAGATCAAGTGTGGTATCTTCTTACAGTGAAATACTATGTAGTTGTTAAAAGGAATGAACTAAAGTTGTACATACTACCATGGATAAATCAGTGTTGTGCAAAATCCGTCCAAAACCAAGTTACAAAAAGATTACACACACACACACACACACACACACACACAATACCATCATATAAAGTTTTATGAACATGAAATATAATATTCTGTAGAACTGATAAGTACAGAAAAATGTAGCAAAAAGATCAAAATATGCACAGGAATAATAATCACTACTTTTAGGATGGTGGAATTCTTTTAGGGTTCTCTGAGAAACAAGGGAAGGAAATCAGGTTGAAGAGGTCTCATAAGATAATTAATATGTTGACTAGTGGGTGCATGAATGTGTTTTATTATCCAAGTCTTTAGTATATATGAACTATTTAGAATTAAGTGATCCCAAATTATTCACTAAAGAATTTTCAGTTATCATAAACTGTAGGGAGGAAAAAAACCTTAAATTTTCCTTTCTCTTGCCTCAATTTATCAGACTTTTAAAGGCATGACTAAGTAGTTTTAACTTAGAAAAATATTTTCAGTAATGGTATTAGTCTCCAAATTAATGTGTTCAGTTTTCTTAAGTTTGAAAAAGTATTAAAATTTTGGGGGAGCTTCCCTGGTGGCGCAGTGGTTGAGAGTCCGCCTGCCAATGCAGGGGATACGGGTTCGTGTCCTGGTCCGGGAAGATCCCACATGCCGTGGAGCAGCTGGGCCCATGAGCCATGGCCACTGAGCCTGCACATCCGGAGCCTGTGCTCCGCGACGGGAGAGGCCACAACAGTGAGAGGCCCACATACCACAAAAAAAAAAAAAAAAAAAATTTTGACCTCATGACTTGCATCAATTTGATATATAAAACTTTGTTAATGATGAAATAATCAACAGCAGAGGACATTAATCTTTGTGAAAAAGCTAAACCAGTGTACAGATACCTTACTCCATTTGTTTTACGTTTGCTTTTCAAAATTTACCTCGTGAGCCAACATTCTATATAATTCTTCTTTCGTAATAGCTAGTCGTTCCCTGTCAATGCTGTCAACCACAAGAATGATGAACTAGAAGACAAGTAAAAAGAAAATTAAATGGGATATTGAAATTTTCTGCAAAACTACTCTAAGTGCTAGAAGTACTTTCTATTATGACATCATCACTATAAAATGGTCCACTGCTTTTTCATCATAAAGTTTATATTATACTGAATCACATCAAGCAGTAAAATCCAAATGTTAATAAGAAAAATAACTCACAACTTCAACAAATAAAAACCATGCTGGAAAAGGTGATGTTTGAATATACAATACGCCCTAATATGTACTAAGATTTATTGTAAAATGCAGGTTAAAAAAAGTAATTTTTAAAAAGAAAGTCACAGTAATTTATTCTTTCACTAAAACTTAAAAGTACTCTGTAGTGGGCTTCCCTGGTGGCACAGTGGTTGGGAGTCCCCCTGCCGATGCAGGGGACGCGGGTTCGTGCCCCGGTCCAGGAGGGTCCCACATGCCGCGGAGCGGCTCGGCCCGTGAGCCATGGCCGCTGGGCCTGTGCGTCTGGAGCCTGTGCTCCACAGCGGGAGAGGCCACAACAGTGAGAGACCCGCGTACCGCCAAAAAAAAAAAAAGTACTCTGTAGTTATTCAAGCAAACAATAATTATTTAAGACAGTCTCCTGCCTATTAGAAAGAAGTTAGTTTCAAAGAAAAAGAGACACATTTATAAAACAACTAATGAATAAGACATTTTTACATAAAATATCAACAATAAAAAGGCAAGAAAAATTGTTAAATTGAAATATATATATATACTTGGGTGTTAATAATACTCTAAAGAAGATACAGGTGAAATTAAAGAAGAGCGCAAAGAGAACAGGAGAAAGCTATTGGTAATGGTGTAAATGAAAAAAGGTGTGTTACACATTCAAAATAAAGCATCTTTGTGGGCTTCCCTGGTGGTGCAGTGGCTGAGAGTCCGCCTGCCGATGCAGGGGACCCGGGTTCGTGCCCCGGTCCAGGAAGATCCCACATGCCGCGGAGCGGCTGGGCCCGTGAGCCATGGCCGCTGAGCCTGCGTGTCCGGAGCCTGTGCTCCGCAACGGGAGAGGCCACAGCAGTGAGAGGCCTGCATACCGCAAAAAAAAAAAAGCATCTTTGATAAGAAAAATAAGAAGATACAATGAGAAAGGGCCCCTAAATTGAACATTTTATGCGGAAGAAAAAGTTAAGAAATGAGATTAAATGGTTTTGAGGGTTATAGAAGAGGAGTAAAATAAACAGACAGGAAGGGTAGAATCAGATTGTTCAAATGACTACAAATAGGGAAAG